TTTAGAGGAAGCATATTGTACATGTGAAGAGAACAAAGTGCTAGCAAATCCTTATGATTTAATATCTGTTCTTTGAAATAAACCAATTTTATTATTTTCTGAAAGGTAGTTTTTTTGTGTGATTGATTTTATTGTTGTAAAATGAGGATTGTAATGATACTCAAGATATCTGTTAAGGTAAACTGTATTTTAGTGGATAGTTCTTTAAGTATTAACATAGATAGTTCTGTTGGACTACAAGTCCAAACATCAGAAAGGAGTTGGTCCAGACACAGTCCCATAATCACAAATGATGCAAAAGCAAGAGGATTTTTGTTCTGTCACGACAGGGCCCTTCAGGTTCGGGATATGAAGGACATCTGATAGCTGTTACAGTCCATCTTTTAAATCAAAAAGCCACAGACACAAGGGGGGAACCTGTAGGTTGTTTTCCAACTTATTGGATTGGCTTATTTAAAAGGTCACTAACAGTGGTTGGTCTATTCCAGGGCAGGAGAATAGCTGCGTGGTCAGGTGAGATAAGGGGAGCATCTGTGGGCCATCCTGACCTTGTTCTGGTGACTAAATCAAACATCAGAAACTGAGTCAACATCTGTGGGTTGTCTCTGCCTTAATTCCCAGAATGGAGTTATGTTTGAAGATTATTCACAAGGACACAGAAGGATGAGCAGTCCAGCATGTGAGTGTGTGTGTGTGTGTGTGGGGGGGCGACTGTCCCGTTTCCAAGAGAGAGTGAGTGTAAGGTTGTAGAAAAATATCTTAGGGTTGAGGGGGCTTACAAATACATTTGGAGTCTTTCAGTTCTAGATTATGCTACTGTATTTGAGCTAATCATGGGGACACTTTCAGCAAGTTTCATCTGCTCTGATAATTCAAGGCATGCATACTGTCAAAAGAAAGTCAGCATAACATACTTTTCTGTGCAATACAGAATGAGTCAAGGAAGAAAAAAACAAAAGCTAAATAACAGAATATAATACAAGTTTAATTTCTAGGCATTATATTTTACCAGAAATGCAGGTAAGAAATGAGAGTAAGGAGAAGGAGCAGTTATCAAATGAATCTTGTTAGTATTCAGGCATCTGTACTGGCCTGTATTTAGGGTCCTGACAGGACACATCCTCGTCTGCAGCCATTAAGACCATATAGCGTTCACTATCTTCCCTTTTAAAAGGTGGGCCTTTTTTTTCTCTCCTCTACCTATTTCTATGGCTCTCCTTTCCTCTTTCCCTTCCTCTGTCTCTCAAGCCTTCCCTTCCTGCCTTCTGCCCTCCCTCCCTTGCACTCCCCTCTCAGCCTCTCTCTTCTCTTGTGCTGCTCCTGTATGCAGAGGCGGGTCTCCCCCCCCCACTTCCTCTTCTCCCTTTTCCCATTCCCTTTCCTGTAATTAAATACTGGGAGGCCTGTCGCAGGACCTCTTTCTCACAGAGCGTCCAGTTGTAAATTATAACAAGACTGATGTTGAAATAAGCTTGATCCTACCATAGTTGGCTAAGTGAAGAAAATAAATTAGAAGGATGAACAAAGTAATCCATATTTCTACATTAATGTGCTTGAAAACCACAAATATTTTAAAGTGGGTAGGGAGTAAATGCTTTTATATAAAATTAATAAACGATGGTGAATAGCATATTGATGGAGGAATTACCCAAATGACCTGAAATCTGAAAAGTCAGAAAAGAGAAAAGTTGCAGAAAGATACTCCTATTCAGATTACAAAGATTAGATCATCTGAATGATTTAACAGAACGTCTGAAGATGACTTAATATGCAGGATAGAAAATGGTAAAATCTAATATCATGTGCTTTAGTGGAAGCTGTGTCATCCTCAGAGAAAACATAGGAAATTATCAGAAATACTGTGAGAGGGAAACAGGTGTAACCCAGCTTGACTTTGCCCAACCTTCAACAGAGAAGAAAACTACCTGGTGATACCATCAAAGTGTGATGAAAATACCAGACAGATTTATGGAGGAAGGATCTATTTTAGTAATAAATCCAACAGTTTGAGTCAGTTATGACTGGGAAAGTGTGGATCAAGAGCTAAGTTCACTGCAGTAAAACGGGAAAGCAAAGTGTGCAAGCAGGAATCCAGGAGTCAATTTGACCAAGTGAGCTGCTTCTGCCAGCTATGTCCCCATTTCCAAAGGTTCCTTGATTTCAAAAATTACATCCGTTGGAAAACAAATATTCAATCCATGATTCTATGGAGGAAATTTTGCATTCAAATCGTAGCACAGGGTGAGAAGATTGAAGAAACATTTCAGAAGGGAACTTAAAATGTTGAAGTCTTAGATGATGTGGAAATCAGAAAAGAAAAAGAAAGTGTGTGGTGATATGGTAGCATAATGGAGTACAAAAAGATGGAGAAGGATGGAAATCTTCACCATAAGTAATAGGTAGAGGTAGCTTCATAACTGAATTTAGACATTATGGTCTTTTGGTTCCTCTGTGTAACTTTGGAGCCTGTCCTGGAACTCCTTCTGTGGAGCAGACTGACATTGAACTCAGAGAGATCTGCCTGCCTCTGCCTCCAGAGTTCTGGGATTAAAGGTGTGAACCAAACATCCCGGCAATTATGGTCCCTTAAAGAATTTAGTTGATCTATCATTTCTAAGCTGTTGGTAGCAACTAGTATCTCTTCAAGCTGATGACATTGTATTGGTCTTGTTTCAGAACAATAACAATGGGAACATTTGATTATCTGTAACCAATCCTTCTAGAAATGATAAAGAAAAGGAACATTTATTGTTTAGTTTCCACTGAATATACAGAATGAACTTGCACTGATCATAGCCAACAGATGAAATTTTAGCAGAAGATTTTGGTTAGTATCTGATAGTACAATAAGGTATTAAATTTACAGAAGTTGCCTAAAAGATTCATGAAATATATAATTTGTAACTTAGAGAATGTACTATTTATATTCTAAGGGTGAGGAAAATGGAACACCCAGAGTGAAGTCCTGAGAGAGTGTGTGCTGTTTTACACGGTCTAAGCCTAGTGACGAACTCCCCTGCCTCGGTTTCAAGGAGGTGCAAAGTCTTCCTTGAAGGCTGGTCAATGTGGACAATGTGTCCAAAAAACTTCTTCACAACTCTATTCTTGGTATGTTTCATGCTTGATGACTGCTGCCTAAAAATAAAGTACTAATATGATGATCAAGCTGAATACCATAAATTATGACTCCTTGTTTGTCTTTGTGTAATAACACCATCTTCTTATTCACTTGTATGCAACCGCTTTTCACACTGTTTAATTGTGTATAATCAACATGCTAAGCTTCAAGGGTAGTACTGCTTTCTATCAGAAACTAGTTCACTCAATACTAACTTTTTTGTTCATCTTTCTGACTTTTCTTCCTTGCCTTACTACTGTAGTCAGGCCCATGCCTGGAGTCATGCAAGGATGCAGCACAAGAAGAGAGACTGAGAAAACGAAATATGTTCGACCAGCATTCCCAACAGCTTTGACATGGGATAAGTTGCTATCATCTACAAAGTTCACATTCTAGAAATACAAACTGAGTTTAAAAAAAAAGAGAAAGGTCCAAAATACTCCTATCACAGAAATTTCTTATAACCTCAATCCTTTTTATTCTGATCCGTTTATAGATATCCTCGCCTGTGTAAGGTTGATGACTGTTGGTAAAAGTTTAAGCTTCCCTGTCAGTACTTCACCCTCCAGTGAACTGTTGCTCTTTAACTGTGATACAACAATGAGAGATTCATGACAGAGAGAAGCCCTTGGTAACAGTTCCCGCGTAGATAACATGGCTCCCGCCTTCATCAACAGGTTCTAAGGTGTTTTAAAGCACTATGGCTCTTGTCTGTGAGGAACAGCATGTAAGAATATATAGGCTATAGAGAAGCATATCTACTTCGGTCTAGATTTCTAAAGTTGGCTTTCAGGTATTTTTCAGCATCTTTTGAGGTAGAACTAATGGTAACTTTATTATAGTTTTTTCTTCTTGGTTCTAAATTGATTACAAAATCCGATAAACACATGTCTAAATCCCATGTCATATTATGGCTTTCTCCAAAGTCGGATCACATATTTGTAAACAAAATACGGTAGAAAAAGTGTCCAGTGAGATTTTAGAGAGATAAGTTGCATAAGATATGAAGTGATGTGTTTGAGAAAATGTTCATTAACAGTCTATGGGATGTTAAATTAGAAGTATTGTCTTATTTTTAACTGGTAAAATTTTCCAAAGAGGACAATACAGACAGGTAAAGATTAGATGTAATTTTTACTTAGAAATTTTTATAAGCGGACATGGAAGCATAAATGTGTTCCCTTTTTATAATTTTATTAAATTTCCAGTTCCTGAGAAAACAATAAGAGACAAGATATTTCATATATATTTAATAGAAACTATTATGTTTTACAGTGAATTAAAATGTGGGGAAACTGAACATTAATGCCTTTTGTACGAATACAAAACTTAAATTCTTTAACATGAGAAGTAAAATTCTTTACTCAACATGAATTTAGTACGAAGAGGCAGAAAAAATATTCTTTAGTATAGAAATTGTACACATTTTTATTTCTTACCCATAATTTAATTTATAAATTAATATTGAAAACTATTGCTGCTTTGTTTATGGAGACAAGGTCTGATGGAACCCAGGACAGCCTTGAAATCACTATGTAGTAGGCAAGGACAACCTTGAACCCTGATCCTCTTTTTCCCCAATTGCTGGGATTACTAATAGTGATGGCTCATCCTGGAGAGGCTCCGAAGCCACAGAGAAACCCAGTTTCAAAAAATAAAACAAAACGACTCCCCCCCCAAAAATAAAAACAAAACAAAAGAAAAAACAGGTTTTAAGGAAAACACCTTCTATAAGTTTCTTACAATCATATTCATCAAAATTCTCTCAAAGGACAAATCTGACTTGTACATTAAATGTATTAAATGTTTGATTCATGCTACCAGCAATTACCTGTAACTCAGAGAAAACTAAGGAACCAAATATTTTTGTTCAATTCTTAGTTCTTTATTTAGTTTCCAGGATCAAACATCGAGAACTTTAATCTTTAAGGCTCCTGACAATGATGTATCTCCTTCGAATTCTAGTTGTATGCTCTGGAACGACGATGATGACCAGGGCATCGTTGTTACATTCTTAGGTCACACTTATCCGGGTCATCTTTGTGTATTCGCCCTGGGAGGTTGCTTGTGATCTTCCCCTGAAGAATATTATTCCACTCTTGCAGGATCTTCGCCTCTTCCTGCAGGGAGACTTCCTCATCCTGTAGAGCCTCATGCTCTTCTCTCAGTGCCTTGTTCTCCTCCCGAAGAGCCTGCTCTTCCTTCCACAAGGCCTGCTCTTCCATCTCCAACGCAGCTCCCTCTTTTTTCAGCGCCTCCTTCAGCTCCGCAGCCACTTCATCCCTCATCAGAGCTTTCTCTTCCATTCTGAGAGCCCTCTCCTTATGCTGGAGAGCCTTGGTCTCTTCGTGCAGGGATTTGATCTCCTCATGGAGAGCCTTTGCCTCATTCTGGAATGCTTTCTCTTGCTGCCTGAGAGCTATGATCTGAGCCTCCATGGCTCGATTGTGTTGCCAGTAGGACATTCGTTCTGTATTCAAGGCACTGAGTTCTTCCTTGGAGAGTTTTGGGCTCTCTAAAATCAACCTTTTCACTTTCCAGAGTAGCTGGTTCTGTTGCCTTAGGATATGATTCCTTTCCCTGATGAATTGATTGTCCGTTCGAAATGTTTTATTTTCTCTTCCTAAGGCTTTGTTTTCCCCCCAGAGGAATTTGTTGTCTGTTCTCAGAGCCTTGTTTTCATCTCTCAATGCCTTATTTTCTCTCCAGAGGTTTTTTTCCACATCATGAGATTTATGCTTGAGTTTACTTTGATCTCGGATACAAGAGAAACAAGAAAACAATCGCAGTATTTTCCCTTTATGTATTCGATTGGATCCAGAGACATCCATTGCCTGTCTGCTCCCTACTGATAATCCCAAGAGAAAATGTCCTAAATCTGTTCATGCAGTCTTGGCTGTCTGTTGACTTCTTAGTGAGTAATAGAGTAGCTATCTGTTCAAAGCTCAGCCAGGTGCGCTGAAGGAGAGAAAATGGAGAGATGAAAGTAGACCCACTATTATATTGATCTCACTGAAATTGTACTTAATTCTAAACACACATGAATTAGAAATTAATCACTTTATTCTACGTAAGACATTACATTGAAGAAGAGTAATGAATTGAAATGTCTGTTTGCAAGTTAAGCAGATTTTTAACCAATATTGTTAGTGTTTTATATTATTAGCTATACTAATTAATTGTCTTTAAATACAATATCTGCTAGTATGGAAGCTTACTATTCCCTCAAGACTGTTTCTATTGGAGTAACTTCTAGTAAAAACGAAAAGAAAAGGATGAAGAAGACATTGAAGATATTTTAAGGCAATATGTACTAATGGTTACAGCACTTAATTAACTTAAAAGGAGAAGTTAAAGTTTGGGCAACCAGCCTTACTTACATTGCTGTGTTCTCTAAGTCACTTGCAAGCCCAGTTTCTGTTAGTAAAAGAAAACAAATAATCAACATTTTATGCCATCTGCAGTGATGTCACTTAGTGTTGACACTAGGAAAGTCATTGGCTACATACGTTGTCTTTGACTTTTTAAGGTATGTATTTTAAGAAAACTAAGAATCTTATATTTGATGTATTTATTATTAAATTTATGTATATACAGTGCTAGCTTGTATATTAGCTATTAAAATTTATTGTAACCTAATGCTTGTCATCATTAGACAAGAATTTTTTTGGCAAGTATTTGTATTACGTTACTCATAAGTAGTAAACAACTTTAATAGTTGAGAATATGTTAAAATTTAAGACCATTGTTTAATAATCTCAGTGGGGTAAATTTATATGTTAAATAAGTATACCTGTTAAAATTTTAATTCTAGAAATCCTATCCAACACAAGTATTACCATGGAATATTTCAATTTGTATTTATTACTTTTATAATATTTTCAGAACAGAAATTTAGAGTGATGAACAGTGTATAACTATTTTATATGACAGAGAGCCTACATTTTAATTCTTTAAAAATTTCTCATTGTATTTATATTTATACCTTAAACCTTTACATAAAACACACTAAGCACAAACCACCATATCCACACTTGAATAAAGATTTGCCAATTTATTTTAACAGAATCAATAGTAATTTTTTGTGGTTAACAGGATTGAAAAATATTTATACCTCTGATATTTTCATACTACCTAATTTAGTACAGAAAGCAACTGAAAACCTTAAAAACATGTACTAAGGTATGATGTAAAACTAAACAAAGATGTGTGAAAGTGAAAGTAGGAACTTTTTAGAGTACCATTGCCAGTAACTTAACTGAGAATGTGTTTACTTGAAATCTGTGGTAGCTTCTTCTTTGTACTATTGGTTCTGGTTCTGTGCTCCTGGAAGCTGCAGGTTCAGGAAGAATTCTGTAAAGCAAACGCTTATAATACTGTGATATCTGAACTTTTGGAAAAAACAGAAAATCTAAAACAAAGTTACTCTTGTCCTTGATCTATTGAAAAAGCAAAATACAGAATTTGGTTTTATTTACTAATTCAAACTTCATCAATGATTTATAGGTTTTTCATATATATATATATATATATATATATATATATATTATGTGGGATGGTGAAATAAAGTTTAAAAAGTAAAGAAACCAGCCTCATAATTCATCAGTTATTTCAGGTAACAAAAGTATAGCCTTAAGTCAACTCTAAGAAGAATATGGAAACTGTAGTCTAAAGTAACTCATACACTAAGGATCAAAATATGATGATTAGCAATCAAATCTAATGATGAAAAAATAAATCATGGAAAATAATAAATTAGACAACTGTTCTATCATTAAGTTATTAAGTAATGATTACTTAATAGGCTTATTAGACATCATATCAACCAGTAAATCGTAATCATCTTTACAGGATAACTTCAAATTGTTTATATGATGTGTGTGTGTGTGTATAGTATAAGTGAGTTACAAATTGAGAAAAGGAACATACTGAAAAAAACACATTATATTTGATTATGTTACCCAGAAAAGAAATACCAAATGATCTCACACATATGAGGATGTAAGGCACTTTGGATTTGTGTGCTTAACTTGCAATACCTATGTAATCTGAAAACTAGAAAAAAGCAATTGACAAGTAGCTATAAAGTCAGATCAAAAGAGTGGTTGGCATAGTAAAATACAGGCAACATCGGGAAAGGGAATAATAGGGGAGGAAACTAAAGTGGAGAACGGATTGGGAGTGTAGGTCTGAGTAAGTGGGAGGAGGAAAGATAATATTAAGAATGCTGAAAAGGCATGTGGGAAACCTACTAATGTATGTCCTTCATAAGTTCAAATTCGGAGAGAGAGAAAGAGAAAGAGAGAGAGAGAACAGTTAGAGAGAAGGAGGAGTGCAAACAAGAGAGCTTTATTCTTTTCCCTGCTTACTAGAAATAAGAACATATTTACTCCAGGGTCACGGAAGTCAATGACCACGTCACTGACATTGTATTTCCTTCACCTTACTCTCCAAAATATGCTTTCAGTATTTTTCTAAAATTATTGATTTCATTTTGAACAAATTTATTATTTTCGAACTCTGTACAGGAACTCTAAATTTCAGAATTTTTAACATTTGACAATCTAGATGATCTGGTTGTATAAATTCCTTTCTGTTACAAAACACTCTAATCTAAATTATAGATGAGGGAAAGATTCATGTGACTAATGCTTCTATGTGCTGTTCATCACTAAGGCAAATCAGAGCAGGAACTCAAGCAGGAACAGGAAGAAGAAACCATTAAGGAAGCTGTTTTCTTCTTGTAGGCAGAGGCTTCTTATTCTTTTCCCAGCCACCCAGATGCAAATAATCACACAGAAACTATATTAATTACAACACTGTTTGGCCAATAGCTTATGCATATTTCTAGCTAACTCTTACATCTTAAATTAATCCATAATTCTTGTGTATGTTAGCCATGTGGCTTGGTACGTTTTATCATTGAGGAACTCTCATTTTGCTTCTTCTGCATCTGGGTGATGACTACAGACTGAGCCTTTCCTCTACCCAGAATTCTCCTGTTCTGGTCTTTCTGCCTGTATGTAAGGCCCTGTCTTCCCTGTTCCTGGAGGCCAAGCACAGGATGTGAGAACTGTTTATGCTAGCTAACCAACCTAGCTTCCTCTGCTCCATTCTGTCAGCCAGAGGGGATTAGTTCAGAACCTTGTTTCTGTCTTTGATATGGTAATTTCACCTGCTAAGGAGGGTTCTCACAGGCACCCTGAATCTCCTCCTATCTGTCTGTCAGGGTTCCCAGCTAGGTACCCCCTGCCTGGAAGCTCCTGCCACTGGACACCAGGCTCTCACATCTGGCTGGGAGGAGGTTCTCCACTTCTGGGGCCAAAGTATTTAACCCTGGATTAAGTTTGAATAAACGGGCATTCTCCTCCTTTTGAGAATGACTGAAACTCTGTATCTGTGTGTGAGTCTTGTGTTTTAACCCCTAGGACATTATCCAGCTCGTGGAAGGTATGGAGTCGCGGTCCATACCAGGTGGGTGGTGATGCAGACCCTGTGGCATGGAACGTTCGCCACACCTGTACTTCCTGTTTGGCTTCTGGCCAATCAGTCCTTTATTAAATACGAATGACAAATGTTTACAGGGTACAAGACAATTTTTCCCACAGTACTGCCCTGTTATGTTCATGTTTATCTTAGAAGGAACGGAGCTGCTCAGAGGGCGCTGGACCCTCCTATATCAGTGAATAATCAAGACAATCTGCCACAGATACGCTTGCAGGCCAGTATGAATCAATTAAATGTCCTTCAATTAAATGTCCCTTCTCTATGACCCTAAGCTCCTTGACATTCCTTCACCCTTATTAACTTTTCCATTATTCTTTTCCTTCTTCAGGTCACATTTAAGCAACCATTCTGGAGAAACATCACTGTTGTAGTTTCTGACATTTCTAGAACATGCAATCTCACAGCAAATTCAATTTAAAGTGAATCTCATATTATGTTTGAAGTATCCATACAATTCAGCTTTCCCAATAAAACATTCTAGCAGAAAGTTCAGACAAGCATTTAAGGAGATTATAAGGGACTAATGTTTGTTTGTTCATAGTTTGTCCTTGCCCTTTTTATTTTTTTGCCTAAAGCTAAATCTTTTTTTCATCTATATTTAGTTAGAAAACACTGAGCTTGGGAAGTAAGCATCTTAAAGCATGCATGCAAAAGCCACCTGTGCCAGCTTTAGGTACATGTGTTAGCTTGCTGGGTCGTAAGTAATCTACCCTTTGCAGAAAGCAGTCTGCAACCTTCCCACCTTTTGCTTGCTAAGTCCCCAACAGTTGGTTCTTGTTTATCAGATCTCAGCTGGGTTCTTACCGCAGCTGAGACACACAAGTATGTCTTGTGGAGCACCGAGCACTGCAGTGTCTCAGATGGCTCCTTGTAAGCATTTCTGAGGTTCGGGCATTTGTGAAGTAGATGACCTGAACTTCTCTTGGCAGCATAAGTGTCTTTGTTTAATTTTCTGCGGTCCCACAGTAAAATATCTCTTCTGGGCCTCAAGGTAAATTCACATGTAAAAATATCATCGGAATAGTAGACCACAACCACAAACTAAAACCTAAGACACACTTCCAAACCTTTGTACAGGTATTCCCTAAGTCGTTGCTACATATTATTTTTCCCATATGAATGTGATTATCTAGCAAGTACATCATTATCTTAAGCCATCTCTGAATTTAACGGGACAATTTGCAGTTGTCCGAATGGCATACAGTACCTGCTTAACATGTAGTCAGAATGTTAGTGGATACTAACTCTACAATATACAAAACTAGTAGACTGTACATCTTTTGAGATACAACTCTCCACTTTTCCAAAGTAAAATGGTTAAACTTCCCTCAGGAAAAGAGAGTATTATAATTAATATCTATAAGCACTTTTTCTTTAGAATTCTGTCCTTGGAGGGAAAGACTGATGGTATTAAATTCAGACACAGGAATGAGAGTGCCCTGTTCTACAAGAGT